ATTTTGATCAAGAACAGATTCTGTTACATTATTAATCTTTTGAGAAGATTTTACTCAAAATAAGTCCAATAATTCATCAGTGCTTCAAAAGTAAACATCTGATCAGGTAAATAACATGACAATGAAATTAGGATTTCGGTCCTTAAAATAAGATGAATAAATATTGTGCAATTTATATAGGATAAGAAAGTTGATTTTTTTAGCTTAAATATAAATCATGTTAATCTTTTGTTAAATCATTTATTTTAAGGAAAACTGATATATATATTTCAGTTTTAGCAGCACTTTACTGACTTATTTCTTGTTTTGAAATATATAATAAATATGATATCAAAAGTAGAGCTGCAACTACCGATTGCAAATCGATTAATCTGTCTATTCTTTTTTTGAATAATCATCAAATAGCCAAAGGTGCCTAAAATAAGAATTTTCACATAAGTAAAGCAAGTGAAAATAAAACGTTTACACTTGAGGATTTCTAGATAGAGTATGTTGACAGATGAGGACTTTTTTTTTTTTATCTTAAATGCAAATTCGTTTACAATTTTGGTATAAGTACTGCTGTAAGGGGGTCGCTCTGTCATCTAAAGTCATGTTTTAGAGTCTCTATACTCCAGGTAACAATTAATTGATTACTAAATTAGGTGGTGATTATTTCACAAATCGATTAATCTGGATTAATCCGATTGTTTCAGCCCTAATCAAGAGGTCTAAATAAGTCACTTATAACTTGAAGTGCAATGACAAGATTATTACTTACTAGAATCCCTGATTCTGATGATGATGATGATGATGATGATGATGATGATGATGATGATGATGATGATGATGATGATGATGATGATGATATCTTTAGTTATCATTTGATTGTTGTAGGAAGATTAATTTGCACAAAAATTCGATTTTTTGTTTTTCTTTGTTATTTTTTTTTATACTGCAAAAATTGAAATAAGTGTTTTGTTCTTGAATCGGATGTATTTTCCTTTGATTTTAGCACATAGTTAAGACATTTTGCCAATAGAATAAGAACATTTAAAATACATTTAAAATGAGAAAAAAAACAACTACATGACATTGGTTCAAGTTTATAATTTTTAATTCTCTTATTATAAGGACAAGAAAATGCATTTGCAGATTATCTGATTTACCTGCTCAGATTAAGCACTAATACACTGATTCTACAAAAGTCTTAATTGTTGTTTTAATTGTTTTTTTCTGTGCAATAAAATGATAAGATGAACAGCTTTAGCAGGCGAGGCCTTCCCAGGGCAGCGTTCCACATTCCCAGACAGGTTTGGATTCAGCCGCCAACAGGAGTTCATGTGCATAGAGGAGGATGTGGGATGTCTCTTTCATTGCCCTGAAGCAGTGGATATCTCAGGCGGGTTAGCAGTCTAACATACAGACCCCAGTAGACTGTGTGTCACCATCTGCTGAGCTGTGATGAGCTCTGCCCCCCGCCCCCCCAGCATGTGCTGCAGACAGCGATGAGCCCATTAGAAACCGCTGTCTCCACGGCAGACCAACTGAGAGAGAACGGCGTTCCTGAAGCATCTCCAGCATCTTCCTCCCGTTAGAAGCAGCTTAACAAGCAGAGATTCCTGCTCACACGCTGCGGGTCAAAAGACGCTGATGACGATTATTTTCACTACAGTCCGGATAGGATCCTCCATATGCTTTGCTGATTTGTTCTCTATTGGAACCACTTCTTGAAGACAATATTGCTTTTTTTTTCCTTCCTCGGTTTACATGATAGATACATTTACCTTAAAGGAGAGACTAAGGGCTTGTGCAAATCTTTTGGGGTGGTTTGGCCCCCTAGAGCAGGGGTCACCAGTTAAAAACCAGCGGGGTCCGAATAAAAAAAATCATCAACCAGTAAAGGTCGG